TATCATATTTCATAAAAACTGATTATAATAAATTATTTAGTTTAAAGAAGGATATGAATAATTTTGATTGAAAATCTTTTCTTATTAATTTATTTTCAGTATTTTTATATTATATTTGCGAAACATACTGAGATCAAGTCTTATTGAGTACAAATTTATTTAAGAAATCTCAACAAATTTATGTGCTATAACTATTTTCAACAGAAACTACTTGTTTCGAGCCAATGTCAGTTCTGATTAAGTTATTGGAATAGATAAGTGTGTATTATAGTATACTTATTTTTGTTGATTAATTGTAATAAATATTTAAATTAAAGGCTGCGTCACTCATCACAGGTAACTGAATGATGCCGTTATCTGTGACGAGTAACGTAACCTTTAACTTAAACATTTGCTAAGATTAATCAACAATTCTGTGCAATCGTGAAACTGTCGCTAAATAAGTTTTTTATTTTTTTAATTTGTGCAATCATAAAAAAATTTGTTGAAGTATTGGTATTTTTTTAACGGATTTGAAACTTATATCCATAACAAATAACAAATATTTAACCTTTTATTTTTTGACAAAAAAGGTAAAAACATGAATGCTAAGTTTCAAATTTTAATTTTTTGTTTTGAAATGAAAATATGGGTTAATTCAAAATTTTAATTCTCTTGAGATGAAATTTATAAATTAATCGACAATCCTTTTAAACTTCAATTTGTTTTAGTATTAAAATGCATTATTTGATTGAAAATTCATTGAAACTTCAATTATTTTGAAGATAACAAAAGAAAAAAACGGATCGGTTTTTCTATTAAATCTGTCTCTTTGCTTATTTGGAAAAAAACAAACAAGAAAATAACTGCAAAAAAAAATTGCCAACAAGCTGGATGAAGAGCCACATTTTGGAAAATCGACAATAATTGTGTTCGGTTTCAGGATTCCTAAACCGGAACATTGAATTACTGCTGAAGCGGTCTCATTCAGTTCACTTAAATTCTGATACGACACAACCAAATGATGCGCATTAAGGCACGATTCACCGATCTGAACCGAAAAAAGGAAAATATACAATGAAGAGATATAAGTGATTCGATTTCAAAGGTAACTTTTTCAAAAGTTTCTTAGCATCTCACAAACTTTCGATCGAAGCTGTAAAGAAAGAATTTCCAGAATTTCCATGAAAAAAACTTTATAGCATTATATGTTATGTTGGAGATGAAAGAAAAATTTGTTTAACATTTGCAAACAATTTTTACTTTACTCTTTTTAAAATGAAAAATTACAAACGTTTTGCATTTGAGCAAAAAAAAAGCGAAATTTTTGTTGAGTTTTTTTACAAGAAGAAGAAAAAAATATCATCCGAACCAATTGTGTGACCGCAGTTTCCACTAAGCCCAAATATTCACCGGTATCCGGGTCATTTGTATGACCCTGAAAAATGGAACCAATTCTTGCATATATTTCTGGAAAAAAACTTATCCATATCCGTACATATTCCTGCTAATAAAATGTTGTTATTTAATCCTGAAACTCTCATGATTACTGCAAACAATGATCCGATTATTTGCATTTTTGGTATTCTCTATTATAAAAGTATTACAAAGAGATGAAAATTTTTGTTCATCTATTTATTATTTTTCTTGCTAACTCTTTCTATTACTTTTTGATACTTAAAGTCAAAAATTATTAAATCGCAAAACATTAATAAGAAATTATTAAAATGATATATTTGCAAACACTAAAATGATCAATTATTTAATAAATTAGCAAATACTTCACATAATACCGCAACAATATTCGATGCGGCACCATCTTTAATCCATTCCGCTACAGCAATTAACTTTTGACAATTAACAAGCCATTCGGGATTTTCATCAATTTGCATTATTAAAATTTGTGGATACCAATGATGTTCGAAATCTTTATGACTGTAAACGCAACGTAACAAACGATATGCTATATCGACACGCCAACGTTCGAAATATTCCAACCACCACCACATCTTTTTATTTGTGCATAAAACAATGAATAAATATTTCAAGTCTATAGTACATATATATGAATTACTTTTAATTTTGAATCTTTTTTTTTTCGTAAAATATGATTTCTAAAATATGCACATATTTAAATTTCGAGTTGTGATTAATTTAAAACTATTTCTGAAATTAAACAAAAATTTTCAAACTTATTAAAAAGGAGCAGAATTGTACGTATTGTAAACTATTTTAAAATTGGTAATCAAAATGTACAAAATTTTCAGTAAGTTTGAATTTGTTGTCAATAATGCTTAATTTATTTCTCCTTTCGTGTCTTGATGATCCTTCTCGGGAAGAAAATTAGGGATCACGGGATTTCATATGAAATGTTATGTTGAATTAAACTATGAGTTTAACGAAAATACGGTATTATTTAAAAAATGTCCAATTATGAATATTGTTGATTTTATATTTTTTTTTCTTCAATTACTAATCATTGAAGTGAATAGTATTAGATAAAGTGGTAAGAAATTGATGATTGAGTTATGCAATAATCGTATTGCTTTCGTGTTTGTTTTCAACAATGGCCGTGAAATGATCAATCGATATTCTGTCAGGTTGAACCCTGATAGAATATCAATTGATCATTTCACTGCCGTTGTTGAATACATTAATTGCAATAATTTTATTGCAGTTGTTCGATGAGAATAGCTATTCTTACGGGTATTAATCATTTTCATTTTTTCGTTTTTTTTTTTCGAAAATTATTTAATTTGCATATCAAAATAACTAATCACTTTCGAATATTCATGAGATTGATCGACTGATCTGTCAACAGAGATTAGGTGAGATGGACAGATGACGATCGTCCGGTCGATTGTTACATGACATTTTTACGGAATAAATTTGTCTTTAGACAGATAGATAGCGCGAAAGATAATGATATAATATTTTTATAGAGTAAATTTAAGTTATGATACTTGGAAACAATCAAATAATCTTTTTCATTTACCATTTTAAGATAAAAGGTTCCGAAAAAAAGGAAATTGCTGATATTTAATCCAAATTAATTTGAAGTGAAGGAAATTGTTCCGGAATGAAAATTGTTAACACTTACTTCAGATTAATTTAGATTCTAAATTTCTAATTTAAATAAACAAAAGTACAATTGTCCTGTGATACATTTTTAACATATCAATGAATACAAAATAAAATTATTTGTCAATAAATCTAAAGTGAAACAAATAACGCACAATGTGGGGAAACTAATTTGGTATTCATTAGTTCAAATTATTAATTTGTATGTGTATCTTCACTAGCTCAAAATTATATTATTTATTTATTTAATTTAGATTAATTAATTTCATTGCACAACAGTTTTTTCATACTTGTATCTCTTACAGTAAGCGATTCCTCTTCAAAAGGAATAAAAGAGGATATCAGTGGCCCTACACTTCGACAATTAATATTCGATTCGAATATGTTTGTTTGAATTACTTTAAGATATAAATAGAGTAATGATAGTAATTACTAATTGTTGTTCATTACCGATATTTATATAACATGTAGTTTTAAATTTCAGAGAATATAAATTTGATTTGCAAAAAATAAATTTTAAGCAATTTTAGTTGCTTTTTCTTTATTGCAGCATATCCGATTCGGATGTGGAAAATTTCATAGTATCGGATGAGAAGCAAAAAATTAAAGACATATTAATTAATTTGTGTAAAACATTTGGTTTGTTTTACTCCCTCTTAAGCAGAAATGTATGATTAGTAAAAATAAGTTACAAATATCCGAGTAATATTATTAAAAGAGATCTTTGGATTGATTCCACGTTAATATCACCTTATTAATTCTAAAGTTAGAATTCGTACGATAAATTGTTAGGAAGATAATCAATTTATTGACGTAAGTGATAATACACTCTTGTAACAGTGCCATTTTAGATTTATCCAACGAATCATGACATATTACTCTCGAAGTTAGTTTTTCTACACTCTTTCCAATTTGTGATTCAATGTCTTTTAGATGTGATTATATCGACAGGTGGGACGGGTTTCTCACCACGCGATATTACTCCTGAAGTTAGTTCTCCCACGTATTAATCTTCATTTTTAAATGGTCTTTATCTTTTATGCAATTTACAGTTGACATTAACAGCCTGAGTTTTAAACAATTTTGTTTTAACATGTAGATAAATTTGAAAAATTACAATGATTTTTTTTTATAAAGAATAAAATTGTTTTAAGAAAGTTGAAATTATAATATTAGCAATCGAAGTAAGATTAAATTTTCTTGTAGGCGACACAAGATGTTATTGAAAAAAGATGTGGCGGATTAGAAACAGCGCTTCATATGCATTCACTTCAAGCTACACCATATGCTGCATTATCACGGTTATGTGCAGGTATCCATGGTTCTACACTAATTGTTAACCTACCCGGAAGTCCGAAGGCTGTTAAGGTAAGCTTACTTTGATCATGTAATATATTTTGCGCTTCTGTGATTTATGACGCGATATAAAATTAAATTCAGGTTCACAAGCATATAAGCAACCAGGCACAAAACTTGAAATGAAAATCCTGCTCACCTTCAAAGATAAATGAATATAAAAACATTATAGGAATGTTTCGAAGTGTTAGAGAAAATACTGCCTCATGCAATAGAAATTCTGCATACTGAAGATGTACGCGACACAGCAAGTCATCACCACTTGATAACTCATTGAAAATCTTAAATTTGGATACCTCTTCAAAAATCTAAAAAAGTACCCTTTATTTCGATAGCACTAACAAATTTAATCTGATTTACGGGGACAGGAAAGTAGAAAAAATTTTCTAAACGGCCAGATCTACGAATCCCGGGAAAGTAGCCTCTTCAGCGATAACTTTATCTTTTGGAATGATATTCAAAAATCTGCATGGATTTGTTAAAGTTATAGTTAATTTATTGAATGCGAGTGGTTCCACTTTGACTATATGTGAACTGCAGTTCATTCAATAAGCTCTCTATTTAGTGTAACACGATGCAAACAACAATCATTTATGTACCGCTGAATAAAAGTAAACCACAGCAGATGAAAAGAAAAGAGATGATATGTGAAGTATTTGTTTATCCTTTCATTCATAAGCATCAAAACGAACGCATATCGTACAAATACTTCTGTGCAATGTCCACAAACGATAAATTGTCCAAAAGAAAAAAAAAAAAACATTATAATTTTCCGATTATTCTTGATCCGAATATTCCTTCAAAAGATGTATCCCCTGAAAAGAGACAAACTTATGAATCTACTATTTTAGCCAGGTGAATGGGATATAATTGAAAAGGAGAGAATATTCGATCCTTAATAACACGAAAATTTCCGCGATATTATGTTTTTCATATAACTTTTCTAAACCATCAGAGATGGTTTGAAATAGATGAAAAAGCAGGAAATTAAAATCGCTACAATGGAAGGTCATTTCTTCTTCCCCGTTTTCATTATGAAATTGTGCAAAACTTTTGAGATCTGGTAACATGGAACGACTTGAATTACCTCTTCGAGATCAAAATATGCCTTTTCACATTCTGTTTCATTCATGAATTCCAGCACTACTTGTTTATTCTGTGATTTCTCGCCCACAGCAACATACTTAACTTGTTTCTTATCCTGTAATTCATGTGTTTTATTTGAAATTGCAAAACATCCTGCAACTCATTTCTTTGAACATCATTCCGAAATCAACAGACAAACCTAACCAACCTGCCGGGAAAGAGTGTCTTCCAATTCGATAACATGTGACCACTGCATTTCTTCGTCATCATTGTACAAATCAATTCTCATATGTCCACTACCAAGCAGTCCCAGTGTAATAAATCCGGTGAATTCGATCGGTTTGCTCTAAATGTTTCATAAATCGAACTTCACAGATTTCAGAACTCATTCAGCAAAAATGAACTCACAGTTTTCAATGGAGATGCATACGCTTCACTTATTGTAGCTTTCACTTTATGAGTGGAAAGTTCTTCATAATCATCATCATTGTCTCCATCATCATAAACGTCTTCAGCAGTAGCACTGTCTTTTTCAGATTTATCACCGACATTGTCTTTCCCAACATTTCTATTTTGTTTCTCCGGAGTATTCAAAGATGCTTCCAGTTTCTTGCATGCACCAGAAATTTTTGGTGAAGTGCTCTCTCCTTAAAGAAAGGTAAATGTTTCAAACGTAGCGAATTTTTTGAATTCCCTTTCTAGAAGTCAAACTTAACAGACCTAAGCTTTAGGATTTTATTATTATTCCCATACCGTTTTTACACGTGATCACATCTGAACAAAACTGATAAAAGCTTGCCTGCTGCAGAGACGTTCTTCTGTTCCGGAAGAGGAAATTTACGTGCCACAGCATTTTGAAATGCAAGTATAAATTCATCTGCTAAGCTGGCATCCTTGAATTTGGCGACAAAGCATTCATTCGTTCCCTCTTTCTCTTCCGCGTAATCCTGAAATTAATTTACCTTAATACTTAAAAAGTTTCATTTAATTTTATAAACACTCACTGATGAAGATATAATAACAGTGCCTATATGCATCAACAAACAAAACAATACGGCACACATGTATACTAATTACAAATTGACAAAACTACAGATGAAACTGTTATTACCCTGCACATCCACATACACGCATTGTCGGTGTTCGGTTTCTTCTTAATATTTGAGTTATCTGTTATGGGTGTATTAGCGCAGACTTTGAACACTTGATCTCGTCGCATAACAATGCGGCACCGCTTTGTTTCAGGATTGCAGAGAATCTATTTAAAAAATTCTTTACTATTACTATGACTGCAACATTCTGCCCAGTTATTACAGTTTTACTTTTCTGTTTCATGAATCCGTATCAAACAATTGCACTCTAGCATTTGGCATTCAGAAGTTCAAGACAATTTTCGGATCCTTAATTATATGTTATCAATAAAACTTCTGTAACTAACATCCTCTTTTATGAGTTCCTATATATTTGTAAAATTCATATTTTATTATGACCCAATAATAGAATAAACCTTGATATCACCGACGCCACGTTCTTTGTATTCCTTCGTCTCAGCTACATAACGATATAGTTTCGATCGAGCTTTGAACACTACCTGAAAGCACAACACATTCATATCAATAAACTTTTGATCAAGTGAACTGTGGTATCAAGCTGTGAGGATAAGATACACGTGAATCAAGCTGTAAAATGAATGAATAAAAATAAAAATATATAAAACAGAAAAATTCACCTGTTCACCTTCCTCACCAGTTCTTACTTCTACAAGCGATGGTAAAGGAACCACAGGTTCGTAATGTGCGTTCGGCTCAAACTCTTCAGCATCATCTGATTCATCTCCCTCTTCATTCTTTTCTTTGGATGTAGATTTTTGCTTAGTGTTTAAGGAGAAAACCTGAAGCATCATTTAATGTAGAGTACAGACGGAACATTACATAAACGCATTTTATAAAAATATTTTTTATACACTTTTCTAGAAACTTACGGAATTCACAGACGAATCAAATTTGCCATCCGCAAACGGTGTAATAACTTTATTCCCTTCAGCAGGTTTCAAAGGCGTTTCAGATTTTGCTTTTGCTGCTAATGCAGCAAATCCACCACTGGAAGACGACTTCCCAAAGATAGACCCACCAGCTGAAACATGTCTGTATGTCTGTCACTGAAATACATAAATATCCTAAGTATGTAAGATGTTAATAATTGAACAAGCATCTATATTCTGATGATGATGAGATCAATAATTTAATGTTTTACAGCTCATGTTATCATGATTCGATTATAGCAATAATATTAGTCAGAGCAGTGTAGAATAAGAAAGTGACGGGTAAAAAGAGTGTGCTGTACATAAGCAGATCAAAATTCAATTTCAAATTGAAGTATTCGGCCGTTCAGAATTTATTGAAACTGGACCAAATAAATACTTACCAAATGCAGAACCACCAAACAGGGATGATTTCACACTTACGGCAGTATTTGCTGTTGCTGCTGAAATATTACATGTTATAAATAATCACTGATCGATAAAAATAAAGAAACCTCACGTATACGGCAAAAATACAAAAACCATTCTTTAAAAACTTATGAATTTATGATCGATTTAATGAGCTGATAAATATCATTAAATAACAACTTCACAAAGTTCAACTAACTTTGTATCGAGCTTGAAGTGGTAGCAGAAGATGACTTTGTTCCAAAAGATGGCGGTCCACCAAATGCAGCAGAATTGGATGGACTAAACTTAAAACTGAAATTAGGAACACTTGGCGCTGGCGAAGCATTTGTTGTTGCAGCAGTCGTAGTCGTAGCCGAATGAAAAACGGAACTTGGAGTAGTTGTGGTTGCTGTCATGGGTCGAGGAGTGAAACTACCGAACAGCGGTTTTGCAGTCGTTGTAGTAACATTTGCACTAGCTGTAGTTATAGCTGGCTTGAAACTGAATGTAGGTAGCCCACTGAAAAAACATTATTATCGCTAACAGATCAATGAATATCCAGAAATCTACGAAATATGAAGCAAATCATTGAATAAAGAAAAAAATACGCTATTTGCAAATACCTGTTAAATGCCGCAGTTGTAGTGGTTACATCTGCGGATGAGCTGTCAGCGCGAAAACCAAAAGTGATTCCACTATTACCTTTAATCGGTGCAACTGTTGATGTTGGCTTGCTGAAATATATTATATTAGAATTGTCATTTTTAATGAAATGATTACTTGGCAATAAACCAAGGAGTAAGCATCTTCAAGAAAAAATAAAAAAATTGTAAATTCAAAATTATATGCCTTGAGAAGATTGAAGAAGCCGGAGTTGTGGAATCACTTCCACCATCTTTGGCTGTGCCACAACATATACAAACAGGTGCATTTACTGCATTTGATATGTAACAAGCGCTGCATGACCAACTAAATATCAAGAAAATATGAGAAACAACTTCTAAAATAAATCGAAATCATTAAAAAATACAATTTACTAATAATTATTAAGTTATTTCCGAAATTACAGCTAAAAGGCAATGAAAGCAAAGATGAAAGATTACCTTCCAGCTGGTGGTTTAAAAATGTCGCCAAAACCTTTCGTACCATCATTTTTTCCTTCTTCACGTCCTTTCAATTCCTTTCCTTTTTCCTTGTCGTCCGATGCTACATTAATTGTTGTCACTAGTATTTTAAATTTTGATTTAAAATCAGTATTTCGAAAATCAAAAAAATATTTACTTCCTAAAATACTGACATACGTATGGGTTTAGTATAGGCATAAAAAGTAGACGGAATTTGACAGAATTATCATTCCTACCTGTTGATGAGACCGCATCTCGAGCAGCGTTGAATACAACTTCAAAATTTTTTGCAATTTCAGCCGTCTTAAAACGAGCAGCAAATTTCTCCATTTTTTCTTCTTCTGCGAAGTCCTGTGCAAGCCAAACAAATGCTCGATCAGATTTTTGTAATGGTGTCAAATTCATCGTCGGTTGAATCGTATGATTAGCACAAACCTGAACCGTTATATATACGATAGCATAGTTTACAAATAAAAAACTCATTAAATAAGTAACTGCGACATTATAACTGAATATCAAATATTAAATCAAATGTTTTCTCTGTTATCGTTAAAGATAAGTCACTTTCTAGAAATAACTCCTAAAAAGCAAAGTTAAAACTCATCTCTTCGCTTAAAGTTAACTAAAAAAACTTCGCCTTCTGATAAACGATTACTAAACTATTCAATGAAAATAAAGCATTTGTGAGATTTATTAAAACTAAGAATAAAAAAGTGTGGAAAATGGAAAAGAAAGAATATGCAGCCATATGCAGAGACAAAAGCAAAAAAAAAAAACATTGTTTTTAATTAGGGAATAAAAATTTTCTTCCATTACGGAATAATGATGGACATGAAAGTATACAATTAAATAAAGCAATCACCTTGTGAACTTGATCACGACGCATAACTATACGAGATATTTTTGTTGTTGGATTTTCTAAAATCTTTAACATTCCGATGCCTCGTTCCTTGTATTCATTGTCAACAAATCGGAATAATCTGCATCGTCCAGCAAATTTAATCTGCAAAACAAAGTTTTATTAAAATCGGTATAACACTTGTGTCGAAGACTTCAATAACACGTTACAAAAAAAAAAGATACAATATTATCCCTTCCAGGTTATTAACAGTAGCGTTTCGCTTTTGCGAAGTTCTATCCTAAAAGATTTTTAAGACAATATATTTACAAAAATGTGTGTTTCCTGTTCTAGATAGTCTTTATATGTTTTATTTTATTATATATTCATAATTATTACTCTCATTTTCTATGCCAGAAAAACAATATGAAATGCGAGTACTACTCTACAAAATACAAGAATTAACAAAACGAGAACTTACAATTTCATTTTCTTCGCCCGTTGTTAGCTCAACAAGTTCCGGAAGCGGAACGACAGGTTCAAAATGAACAGATGGCTCGAAACGTTCTGGTGCTTCGTCATCATCACCTCAAAGATACTTTCCTATTTTAAAATCATTCTTTATTTTCTTTCGAGAAATTATTATTAAAAATACGTAATATAAGAAAATATCCAAAACTGTGAAATCATTACGTGTCAGAAATATTTGAAAGAAGATATACATTTAGAAATATCCAGCCACTAATTTTACCTGTTGATTCATTCTTTCCTAAAGTTTCATTACCAACACTTTTCGGTGTCATCTTTTCCATTTCCTGAATGCTCTTCGGTGTAGAAGAAAATACATTTCCAAATATGTTCGGAGGCGTACTGTAAGTCGTCGTTGTTTCTGCAGAAAGCGGTTTAGCCAGTAGTGAAGCGGTTGTAAATGTAGTGGTTGCTACTGTAGTTGATACTTCTTCTGGAATTCTCGGAGAATTAAATATGTAAAAAATAAAACATTTTACTTCATAAGAAATAGTAGTATAAAAGTGAACTGTGACATACGTTTGACAGGTGCTCCAAACATGAACGGTGTGCCTGTTTTCACCTGATTTCCAAAAATTGCTTGTGACTGTGTCTGTTGCGATGGGACCGCTTTAGATGCGCCTGTTGGAGCTGCAACCGAAGGGAGTCTTGTCAAACCATTCGGTGAATTCGATACAGCTATAATATTAATTACAAAATAAGGAAAGTGTGCGAAATGTGAATAAAGAATAAATCTTTATTTCGATTGTTTAATATCATAACAATGTATAGAGAGTAATGGAAAACTCCACTATCCAGCTGATATACTGATCATCTTTCATGGGCCTACCGGTGATGCATGAATTTCAGCAACTGATAGCTAGTTTACCTATGCAGCTAAATGAATATGTTGACAGTATTTTAAAAGAGCGGAAACCAAATCCTGAAGAGACCGTATAACTCGTTAGAAAATGGATAGACATTATTATTATTTTATTATTATTATTATTATTACTATTTATCATTAATTATTATTTATTGTTATTATTTACTATTATTGTTATATTATATTATTCTATTATTATTGAACTATTGTCAACTACGTGCCATGAGAAATAAATTGAGTGAATAGGAAACGATAAATTTCAGAGAAGATATTAACAAATCAATTTCCCAAGATCATGAATATGCATTACATTAGGTGAATTTAAGACTGAATGATCTAATGGAAGAATGGTACAAGACATTAAGACAGATCAGAAATAGAGAGTTTAGATTTGAAAACATGAATAGCGCAAATTAATTTCGATATGCACAAATATGTTATATAATGAAGAAATATAAGATAGTCTGCACCTGTCACAGTCGATGAAGTAATTGAGGAATGTAATAAAGGCTGTTGTTGCAAATGAGTTGTCACTGTATTTGGAAAAAGTGCTGTCTGTTGGATTGGAAAAGGTACGCTGGTACAAAATCTAAATCAGAAATGAAAATGAAGAAAGCTGCAAGATACGGAAATTTCAATTACTTCAGTTTATCAACTAAAAAGATTGTGGCAAAAAAGATAAGTTTTTAAAGATGTCCCAAATGTGCACATTCAATGTGACATCCTCTCACATTTGCATGGAGATCCTGCAATATTCCTACAAATAACATGAACTGCAAATTTGTATTCTAGCAGATTATTTCATTCCCCTTAATCTCAAGCAAACAGTTAAGCCATAAATAATTGATGGCACAACCATAGCTCGTTCATTCAATTTTCATTATTCATTTTTTTCATTGCCTAAAAAAGCAATGCATCTATATAACTACTTTTGGCTCCCCAAATAAATTTTCATCCCCTTTCAAGTTTTCTTTCTTCCCTTTAATTACAAAGATGAAAGTTTTATACCCCGTTGATGCAATAGGTGTCTGGTACTGACTGAGGGTATTAGAAACTAGCGCTGCCTGTGGTGATCCATACATTGAAGCCTGAAAGATTTCTGATTTATAAACATTCCGAATTTTCTAAATCGGTTATAAGTAGTTGAAGCAAAACGATCAAACGTCTAACTGGAAAATAAATGTAAGGAAATAGTTTGGGGAGTAACATAAAAAACTGTGCCATTATACGATCACTTCGTATTATTTAAAAAAAAGAAATGAAATCAATGATTGGAGAAATCATACCATAGCACGCTGTTGTTGTGCAGCAAACTGCAGCTGTTGTTCTAATATATGATTAGCAAACTGCTGAGAGATGACTGGTTGTTGGATAGTATCCGTTGACGAAGTTACACCAAAAAATAAGCGTGGCGAAGTAGCTCGCGTAAAGGTTGTTTGCGGCATTGCATAACTAAGGGCTGATACGGATGTTCCCATGGCTAAAAGAATTTTATGTGTATCACACTTTAGAAAAAGGAAAAATAAAAAGAAAAATCCAGAAATTTCCCTATAGAATTTAAGCAATATTAGTAGCAAAAATAACAAAATATATGATCAAAAGAGCAATCAAAAGTGTTCAAGAAAGTTTCCTTATGTCAGAAAGCGACAAGATAAAACGACAAAGTTGGTTCACGAATCATAGCATCACAATGATTAAAAGATTATAAAATAAACGCTGGAAATCCTCCACTTCATCCTAGTTTCAGTGAAACTGAAGAGACAAAAGTCACTCTGCTTTTTATTCGTTCAATTTTTTCATCTGACAAGAAAACTATCACTTTGATATTAATCAAAAGAATATTTAGAATGCTGCAGCTAATGCACTGAAAAACCTGCCTGGACGAAGATCCGGACGTTGTGAATTTCCATATGAATCTCCTGTGTTTGATATTCTCAGCATAGCAACCATATTCATCAGACGGTCGATCTCTTCCCTTTGGCGCTAAAAAAATGATTATTCACTTTCGAATTTGAATTGGTAGAAATCCTATTATTTATCTCCAGCTCAGCAAAATTGATGATTCCTTATTCAAAATATATGAAATGTCAATATAGGCTATCAAGACAGCGAAAAGTTAGTAATAAATATCTAGAAATACCTTATCCAGAATATCAATAAAACGTTCATTTGCCTGAGCTTGACCGCGTCGCAACTCTTCCAAAATCATCTTCTGTACAGCCTGCAATAACAGTGGTTTGGTTTTTCTTAGAAAGTTCATTTTTTCTTGAAGTGATATTCACCCAAATTTCAACAACCGCTTCTCCCAAAACGACTTTGAAACTTGAATATCTAAACAAATTGAAACTTGTAATAATTCATGAGCACGGTCCGCAAAACTGTTGCATATTAAACTACGATTCAGTCATAAATCACCGTTATGCTTTCGAAACATGAATCAAGTTAATATTTGAAATAAAATTCAAAAAAAAAACTGGAACACCAATCAAATAAGCAAAGAGCAATGAAATTACAAAAAATATTAATCAAATTACTACAAATCAACTACGCATATAAATATTATAGGTTCTGTTCAGTTAATATTTGCCATAAATTATTACAAAAAAATACAGCCTACCTCAACAGTATCTAAACGACGAAGAATGTCATTCTGCATTCGTGATGTATTCAAAATAGCCTGTACAACGACGGCATCTTCATCGGTTTCGACCTCACTACCATTTCCACCTCTACCACCTCCATTACCTTCTCCAGTAGCGCCAGCCGCAGCGGCGGCGGCAGCAGCAGCAGCATGACCATCTCTCATATTTGCACAACAGTGATGAGCGAATCTCTGCAAAAATTTATTCAAATTCTTTCGAAACGCAATTATTTAAAGCAGAAGTTGAAAAAATAAAAGAATATTGCACAGAGGATTTACTTCGCTTTACCGAACTGCTGATTTTTGCGATGCTCCCAAGACCGGCAATATAAAATTCAAGAGTTGAAATCAGGTAAAAAACTGATATAAAAAATCTATGAAACATTACAGACCTTTATATCCATATCCTCTAGAAACCCTAACTTTCCGAAAAAATCCAGCTATTCTGCATGTGAGCGTATTACTTCAAAAAATAGAGAAGATCACTAAATTATGAAAATAAAATTCTAAGTCGATATTTACAATAAAATCATCAAGAAAGAGTTTTTCGATATCACCAAAGCTAAAGAGCTAAACGATATTTTCATCATATTACCCTCTTAAATATCACATTTCAATTAATTCACGCTTGCAAATTACTTTTGAATTAAACGATAACTTCTATTATGTGACGTTATCAGATATCACGCTGCAATCAACCTAAATATGCACTAATAAATCTTATTTTTCCATCCTTTCTTCCTCACAACTCTTCCGTTTTCTCAATTTCTCTACGCTATCTCTAAACTCTTCAGATCTCTTCATCCCTCGATATTTTTTAATCCGCTTTTTAGCAGTTCACAGATTGTTATCCCGTAAACATTAAAAGCTTAGAAAATCCCGATGCCAACCACATCCTCTACGAACGAGCTTACCGATGTCTAAAATTGCCTCATCTTTTTCTTGTATACTTTTCAAACACTTTGATGGCCCGTTATTTTCTTACATTTCCCAAGGAGTGAATCATTTCATTTAATATCACAACATTTGGCCAGAGCTGGTGGCTGCTTCAATCTTGGCTAGTATGGCTAAGATTAATGTGATTGAAGTAATCTTGTGGAAACTATTCAGCTACGAAAACAAGATTTCGATCATTTTTGAAGGCGAGATTAATTAATTTGAATATAAAATGTAAATGTAGGCTGAGGACAAGATAACATCACAGTTATGATAGCCTATCTATGAGATTTATGAATTCTCAATAAATGTTACATTTTGAGAATTTTGAGAATGTCGGTAACATTTACCCGACAAATCATGTAAATCGATCAGATCATATTTTAATTGATGAAATTCAGATATTTGTTCGCATTTCCAGTCTCCCATTGTTAATTCAGATTAGGGCTGAAACATTTTTGATCGCTGAGTTAGGTCAAGACTTGGCCATTTTGAATTTTATGTCATGAACGGAACGATTTTTACGAACTTTTTAATTGTAAGTAAAAAATTTCAATTTAGAAATTCTTGCCTGATTCATATTTTATGAGGAATAATAGCTGTTTTATGAACTTTAGCCTAAATCTGAATTACTGTGAAGTATAAGAAATTTTCCTTAATGGAATGATAAAACAGTAACAAATCTTATTTTTTGTAAAAGTATAGTAAATGTATACTTTTAAGTTGTTTTAAAAAGATATTAATATTTATTTTATTCCGAGAAATTTTTATTTAACTCAATTTCATTGAGATATTTTACCTTTTATACATTCCACATTAAAAAAAAAACACGAAAAATTGAAATTTCTATAATTTGGAAGATTATGCATCATTTTTCTTTGCCTTATTTAAGTATGCTTAGCTAATTTAGTCTTTGATAAAATCTTCAGATTTAAGGTTTTAATCTATCATTATCATTTGCCTTTTATATAAAAGCTGATTGATAAAATGATTGCTACGTCAATGGCTAATTATTTAATTAGAATAAAGTGTATGAAATATTGATTTATTTGTAAAAACTAATCGTAAAATTGACAAAAATCTAACAAACCAAAAAAACATTGTTGAAATTACCATCGGATGCGAAATGTTTGTGGTTTTTATAACTATTATTCAGTTTTGATCTTTTTAAATATTTTATCAAAAAAAAATTTTTTCTTCATCCTTTGCTTTTTTTCCAACAAATTTTTATAACCGTTATGCTCTCTCCCTCTCTGCCTCTCTTTCTTTACCTCTCTATCTTTTTTAGTTAATAATAAGTTAATTCATTCAAAAATTGATTTTCCAAAAAATTGAAAGCTTAAATTCAAATAACATCCTATAAAAGATGCAATTTTGTTAATTTATAATTAATAAATCATTAAATCATATTTGTTATGGTATAGGAAGTGCTAATAGGATGGAAAAAATTGGTGTTATTCTTCTAAAATGTGAAATTTTTCCTTTCTTCGGCAGATATTTCGGCATTTTTGAAATACAAATCGAGTTGGACGAAGAAAATGAAGCGGAGGTGTGATGAAAAAGGTAAAATAGTATAAAAGTAGCAGGAAAGGATCAGAGATTGTAATGGAGCGGTAAAATAACCGGAAGAAGAAAAAAGTAGCTAAAGAAATGAGTGTCAATTATTAAATCGTTAATTTTTTTTATTCTCAATGATAGATTAAACAAGTATGTTAGTTCTTAATTTCTTTTTTCAATCTTTTATTTTTTTCTTTTCCCATTCTTTATTATGTCATTTCTGCACATCGCTTCACATCGATGAAAAATATTTTTTTAAAAAAAAATTTTTTTTTAGTTTTTACGTTTGTTTTTCTGTTCTTTTGTGTTCTCGTATTTTAATGAAACATATCAGACGGATGTTCTTTTTTCTTTCAATTTATTAATCCAAATACTTACTAAAGTTAGATTAAATGCTATTGGATAATTAAACGATGAGATTTTTTCGTTTCGCTCAAGTTTTAGCTTTTCAAAAGAATTAAAGTTAGAGTTTTGAAATTTAATAGGATGAAAATTTTTTTAATTTTGATAAATAACTTGGAAGTGTGATCGATAAAGATGTTTGAGTTAGAGTTTGCTTCAATTAAATTCGCTTTGTTTTCTGTTTATTAATTCAAGCATATCTAAATTTGAATCCGAGTATTAAATAATTGGGTCTGCTCAAGTTTTAACTTTTTTAAATAATTGGAATTGGAGCTTTTCTGATAGTACGATGAAATGAGCATTTTAATATTTCTCCAAATTTAATGATTAACATAGAATTCTAATCAACTTAGCTTTGGTTAAATTTTTTGGCCTGTTTTATCAAGAACTAAATAAAAGAGAGATATTTACACATTACAGATTTCAATACTTCAACAACATTATACCATTAATTACATTGGAGTATTTTGAAAAATTGAAATTTATGAAAATACTTGATAATTTGCTAACTTTAACGCAATTTTGTCATATTCCAGGTTATTGCCATGAATTGATCAATATGATTGGTGATTTTGCAAACATGAATCGATCACCGGATTTCAAAGCAAAAACTATGGAAAACCTACAAAAAGCAACAATATGAGTTGAACGTCAACACTCCCTTAATTTAGCCGTTGGCGTTTCGGTAAGTGATGAGATGAAAATTTTATTGAAATTTTTTGGCTGCTGATTAACATTTTTCAATTTTTTGAGTGTTACATATTGAAAGATACAAATTATTGATTTATCATTTAGGAAAGAAATAACTTTAACTTTCTGGTTTTTTTCCGCTTTCTTTTTTGCCGTTCATTTCTTTGGCAAAAATTATATTTTGTGAAATTATGAGTTTTTTTCTCCTTTAAAGGTATTGTTATATTTGGTAATTAAGTGAGGCACTTTGGAAAGAATCGAAAATTTTTTCAATAAAAAAAACAAGTTTTTCCATCTTAAAAAGTATTATTCAGCAAAAGAACAAAAAAAAATAAAAAAATAAAACGAATGACTTCTCCGATGACCTTCTCTTTTAATCAAACAATTACGCCAACTATGCCAATAAAATGACAAATTTGCATAAATTTAGAAAGTTCAACCTATTAGAAATATTTTTTCCAAATCTTCACATAGTCCATTACAGTTTATTATTCAACAGTAATTTTCTCGATTTTCTTTTTTTCTTTTTTATTTAAATCGTTAAAAATTTTTATGATATGGCAATTGTGATATAATAAATATCAACTAGCATTTTCTTTTTGCTTGCAATCCTAGCACTTTTTTAGCGTATAAAAAAAATTAAAAAAATGTTTGAAAAATAAAATTTTGATACTTTATTGAATAATTTCAATAAAATTAAAAATCTTATTAAATGCCAAATTTAATTTGAGCCAAATTTCACAAATACATTGGAACAGAAGTGGAAAAGAATGATGGAGGAAAAATGAGCATTGTTTCAGGATGAAATACCACCTTTTAGTGAAGGAAATAGAGCAACAACACGACGACAATCAATCGATAAAATATTCAATTCATCAATTCATCCAATTAATAATCATATTTTCTCAGTTCCAGCATATATGAAAATATTGAACGAATAAAAAAAAAAGCATGGAGAATTTGGAAATTTTCCATTAAAAGATAAAAATAATAGAATTGAAGAATCTAAAGTATTACCAAAAGAAGGAACAGCTTTGCCATCATTAACAACCAGAAATGAGACTGAATCAATAATACATCATAAAGAACGATCAATGAATAATGGTAGTACCTCTGTAAATCCAACGCTATTACCATTACTATTGATTCATACTAAAATCATTAATAATATGGGTTATCAAGGATCAATTATTCTTATTGATGATGATAAGCCATAAAAGCTACGTATTTGCGAAAATACCAAAAAAATGAAAATAATTGATTTATTAAATTATTGGTAGGATAACAATTAATGATATCAGTAACCGTATCGATTAATCAAGAATTATGCTTTCAATAATCCACTTATTTAATTGGTTTGGATAAAAATGAATGTTATCAATAAATGATGTGTCAGTGAGTAAAAGTTAGTGCTATCAATGGCCAAATTATCAGTGGATAAAGTTGCTATCAGTAAGAGCTTTTCATAATTATAGTCAGGGAATTTCAGTTGCTGATAATTTCGTCTTTACAATATCACTTATTATTTTGTAAATAAAATATGCATTGATTTTGTTTTTTCCTGTTGTTAAGATAACAATATAGAAACACGGAATTTATAGAAATAGGGAATTTTATTATTACTTATTCAAATGATTATTATTTGATGAAATTAGCCTATGAATTGCTTTTCGAAAAGCACTAGTCAAAAATACCCAAATCTATTAAAAAAAAGTAATATGGTATGAAAATACCATAATAAGTTACTGCATTTTGTGAGATTGATGCAGTTGCAGTAGATATCAACTCCCACTGATGTTTGATTAAAAGTAATAGAAATTGTTAAATTAACTTTTGAACATTTAGAATTCACAAAACTTTTAGAGAGGGAAGAAATAATGTCTTTTAGTAGTAATGGTATTTATACTGTTGAAATAATTTGTTGGCTCTGATCTGTATTAATCAAGAAATGTAACAACTTGGACGATATTCCAATTCCTACGCTCGAGTGTTCGTTGATCTAATATTAATTATATTCCAATGCAGAAAACTAAATGGAAGAAAAATTAAAGGAAAAAAATCAATCAATTATTGTGATCATTCTGTTAGGGTAATAATTTGGAATTCCAGAAATGAAGTAAGGTAGAGCAAAATTTCAGCAAGAACGTAAAGTACGCTGTAATTGTTGAGTGAAGCGATGATACAGATGAAACACATACCATTATGAACTGCTTTATTATTTAGCAAGCTTCATATAACAATGCAATAGAACAGGAGAAACAGGAAAAGCAAAGGTAATAAAATAAAATTGGCAATTATTGAATGATAACTGTGATAAGGAATATTTGATTATTTCACATAAAATAAGGATTATTTGAATCAAATAAAATCTAGGGACATTATGGAATAGAGCACAAAGATGGAGTCAATTTTTTTCCGTACCAATTCTATTTCAAAAAATCTTAGCAAAATAAAATGAGCACTTTTCAAGTTGTTTGTACGACATTCAACGTTTAAGATA